CCTACTCTATCTTCCTTCCTCTCTCTCTCTCTCCCCTCTCACCCCTATCTCTCCACGTCGGCATCTATCGACCCACCCCCGGCGACGGCGGAGCTTCCACCGCCCCGGAAAGCTTCCGCGCTTGGCGCGTACACGTCCGTCGATTCGGGCTTTTCCCTTCACCCTCCGACGGTGTACGTCGAAGAAGAAGGGTGTCGATCGTCAGTCGTGTTTCTTCACAGGGCAGAACGACGTTTCGCCCTAACACGAGGGGCGTCGCAGAAGATTCGCCCCAAGAACAATTTAACTGGAATTAAAATGATTGAACAATCACATTTGATCCAAATGATTCAATAAATTCGAAGGAAAATATATCGAAATTTACTCCTTATTCGAAATGTCTCACTTATTCATAAATAAATAAAGTTAATTCGTAATTTTATAAAATATCAGATCGTACAAATATTGGATTTTACACCGCGCTATCGTTATTTCAAATATTAGGATTTCGTCAGCGGAATTAGAATTGATTAGCGCGCCGTAATATAAAAATACGCGTAAAGGATTCCTCTTGTCAAAAGTGAAGGCCTAATGAATTCGATGAGAGCCGCAGGATGTAGTCTCGAAATAAACGTAAATGTCAGTCTGACCGTTTAGGAAAACACAGTTCTGTTTATCGGAGATGAAACTCACGAAGTTAAATGATACAAGTCCGAATGTCATTTAACTATCCATATTATCAAACTTCGTTCGAGAATTATCGAAATTACTCGAGTAATTGAATCTGAAAACCGGATTGCATTTGGATGGTCGGGCATCTAAAATATACCCGGAATCCGAAATTGATTTACACATAGATTTACATAGATATTTCCTCGATTTAACTCCAGTATCCATAGTGCTGCGGGCGTATTAAAAAGATTTACGTAGCTCGGCGACGCGTAACTTTCGTATTTTAGTACAAATTTTCTGATGACGACAGAAAATAAAAGACATTATGTGCGAAGCAGAATCCATTTCGATTAAGCGGCTTCCTTCGCGTTTTTCGAATTTCTTGCGTCCTTGGCTATAATTGTCTCTCGGAAACGCACTGCTCGAACTTGTCGAACGGGAGAACGTATGCTTGAGTATATCCGATCATTTCTAGCAACTTGTTTTCAGGAGAAAAACGAAGCGATGAAGATAAGACAGATAAAAAGCGATGCTTTTTAAATGAATCATCGGTTTTAAATACCGCGTGTCTTCCTGATTCTCGCGCTTGTACGTTTATTTAATGTGTGCCGTAATTTACAATTCAAATATCATTCATTTTTAATTTTTGATACGTCTACTTGTTTCTCTTTGCCTTAATGTTTAAAGAGATCCATCCGCGTTAAAAAAACTTTGGAAAATTAAAAATTTAAATTTCACGATATCAAAGGTGGTTAAAAATGTTGATTTTTATCGCATTTTTATGCAAATTTTAAAAGATTTATTGCCAATCAAAGCCGTAGACATGCAAAACGTGCGGGACAAGCTCATTTCTCGACATTGAGTATGAATTATCGATGTCATTGTGCTTACATATAAAAAAATAATTGTACGTAGAAAAGGGAATTACATGTTCGATATGCAAAAACATTTCGACAGCATCGACATGTAAAAATAGAAATAAATTATTCGAATAGGATTTTTTTTTTTTTAGAATTTTAATCTTATCGCGAGCGCGAATAAAAATGTCGAAAAATGCGAAAGTCGGGAAAACAAAAACACATGTCTATTTGTTATCCGATCAGAGCGAGTTCGACAAGCAGAGTCAGCGCACTTTTCCGCGGAGGGATGATAATTTTATAAGGCGGGAGGGGAGGGGGGGGTTGAGTTTCCTCCTCTCTCCTACTTGAACGAGAGTTCTAGCTCTAGTTACGTCGTTGAAGGAATACCGGAAGAGAGCCTGGGCTGCGCCCCGCCCACCCGTCGGTTCTCGTTCATTCATTAACCCGCTCTTCGCTCGCTTCTCCTCGCCTTTCCCTCTTCGCGTCCGAGAGTCGGATCTCGATCCCGCAAAATCGCTGCCAATGTCGTCCGACGTCCCGACACAATCGGAATGTTGTCGCGAACTAATATTAGTCACGCCACACGAACGCATGTCGCTTGAAATTAAAATAGCGTTCACACGGAGTGATCCCGAATAGTATCGACAAGTTTCGCTGCGGGCAATTTTTTTATCGAATGGAAAAGTTGATTGTTTTTTTTTTTAATCCTAACAGACTGTCAAAAACATCGATGCTCGGCGATGGAAAGGAAAATTGGATAAAAAGTTTAATTATACCAACAAGTTAATATTTAATTTAAATCTTCCTCCAAATTATTTATAAATCGAAGGATCGGATGTACAAAATTAATTTCTTTCCTGATTTTTCCGAGTGTATTTTTGCGCGTCATATTTTTTTATTAGCACTAGATATTAAAACCCGTTTCCTCCGGTCAATTTTTAATCGGGAATTTTGCTGGGGAAACCTCCGACGGGGAATTACCTGGTTGATTAATATTGTATCTCTAATTAATTGTACAGCGTGGATATATAATGTGGCTTATCAAGCGTAGCTCGCAAGAAAATTAGCGCGATGCAGTCATCAGGATGTAATCATCGTTGACATTGATCGGCGATAGAGCTATAACTCTACGAAGATATAGACTTCAAAGAGCGTCTTAAGCACCTAAGCAAACAAGCACGACAAACGCACTGTTCTCGTATCGTATAATCGCGCTGTTGTTACACGTGCGAGTTTCGTCATCGCACAATAACTGTCAGGGATTTAAGCGAGCCAGGATTCAACGAAGTTGACAAAGCGGGTTCTTAGAATACAAACAATTGATATTCTCGCGGAAGAAAATCCGCGATTTAATGTGAGAGCTTCCACCGAGATCTTATCGTTCGCAATTTGGCATGAGATCGTCTGAAGCATAATTGGTCGGAAGGTGATAAAGTTTATTTCAGAAATATTGGGCCCGACCTTTTATCTTTATTGCTCGACGAGAGTACGCGGTGTTATTGAAAATAATAATTTACCAATTAATTCGCGTGGAGTATTCGATTGTAGCGCTCACAAAAATCATTTCGCAAAACTATTTCAGAAATTAATTTTTTTTTTTTTACATTACTAATAGTAAAATATTTTCGAATCATCCGAAACGGAGAACTTCGCCAATCTTTTTGAACTAACAACTTATAAAATTCCTACTATTTTTATGCAACGCTGTTTTTCCCTTTTATCGTGATGCAAAGCTACCCTCAATCGACGGGTATCCCGTGCATTTTTTCGATTGATAACACACGCCCGTCTTTATCGATAAAGGCGTACCCCGTATGCCCGGTGGCCTTTTTGCATCCTCATTAAGGCAGAGAAAGGCGTGCTTGTGGGCGCGCGAAGCGTCTTTTCTTGGCGACGCGCATAAAAAGCTCTTTCCACTGCACCCGGTGTGTCCCTCGCGTGTACACGAAGATCGATTCAGGTTACGCGAGCTTCGCACGCCCAACATTATTATATAGCCGGAAAGCGGCAAACATTCCTCCCACCCTTATCTAACGGAATTGAGAGCGATTCCTTGAAATGCTAATGTCTACTTAGAAGTCGACACACTCGCCGAATGCGATAATTTCATTTTAATGAAAGACGTTAAAGAGCAGTGAGTACGTAGAAGCTCGATTCTCCAAACTCCATTCCATAGCAAATTGATGAGCAAGTAAAGAAAGGGGACAACGGAGGTCAAAGAATTGGCGACGAATCTAGGAAATTGAAATATTTAAAACGTTTCTTATTATTGTACATTCTGCTTGACAAAAGTTTACATCCATTTACTCTATTTTACAGTCTCGAAAGAACAAACATTTCTGCTAAAAAAAAAAATCACTGATATCTTCTAATAAGCATCTTTAACAGTTATTGACATCTTTAAATGTCCCATATTTCTGTTCGATTTATTCCATACACAGAATATTACTTTTACAATATTTTCTTTTTTTTTTTTTTAATTTTTTGATTTAGCTGGAAAGAGATTGTGCGAATAAAGAGATCCGAATGCAAAGCATTACTCTGTTAATATTCGGGAAAGTTGATATTGGGGTGTAAGAAGGCGTTACGCACGCCGGCCGCGCGACCGCGTTCATTCATGATTTTGCGAGGAAACGACGATGGCGACGCGACGCGCGCCACCTCCACGCTCACCCCTCGCCGCTGCCGTCGCCGGCCATTCCCCACTTCCATCAGGCCGTCGTAGCCGCCCCGCCGTTCCCCAGGAACGGACAATCTTCGCGTGATCTCCGCATCGTGCGAATCGCGAGGCGATACGGGGTGTCGCGAGAATGTATCGGGTTAGCGAAAGTCGATGTAGAAAT